TCTACAGCAGCTTTTTATATATATCCAACAAGGTTCAGTCAGGTCATCTGGTTTCTTCTTTTTTGTTGTTGTTGAGATGTTTCGTCCTTCATCCAAAGGACTTCCTCAATCCGAGAAGCTACCAAACAAAACTGATTGCCCCAAACAGCATACTCCATAGTGGGAAAAAAAACATTTTGCTGGTGCTTTGGTGTTTTGAACCACTTTGGCATGGCTGTTTCAGAGAAGTTGACGAGGGAGAGGGCGGGCCCCATAGGCCATCTTAGCACCAGAAAACTGTTTGTGGGAATCAGTTTTGTTTGGTGGCTTCTCGGATTGAGGAAGCAAAAAAAAAAAAAAAAAAAATGTCCAGATGACCTGACTGAAAATTGTTGGATTTATACCTGGATTATTGAGCATGAACTTTGGAGATTTTTACATATTAAGCAGCATTCTGAAATAAAGACCTAGTATGATTTGAAGGAATGCATGTCACCTGCCACCTTTCATGCCAGAGTTTTAAATTAAGATCATTTTAAATTAAGAAATGAGTCAAGGCCACTTTCATGATGAAGATGAATGAATCAATGAAGACTCAACACAATCTGCTGGCTTCCTTAGTTAAATAACGTTACTAATATCCATTTTATGTATGTGAATGTTTTTGTACAGTGCACTGAGATCACTTCTGTTCTGACTTGGCACTATATAAATCAATTTAATTTAATTTAATTCATAAACTTTTGTAAATAAAGTTTTAAACAGTTTCACAGGAAATAGAAAGATCTCATGCGCTCTCATGTTGGTGTGTGTTTCAGGTGTTGAGGCATCTCAGCTCCTGTCATGACAAATTTAAACTCAGTATCTGTAAAATTAGCTGAGTCATATTTTTGTGTTTTCTGGTTTCAGTTTGCTGGATACAGCTGTCTTGAATTTGGTCGACTCCAAAAGTTCATTGTTTGTAGATGTACAACTATTGATTACATTCATTAAAATACATCCACTGGTTCATATGATATTTTACTAACAGACCGAGAGACAAACACACACATGAATGCAGGCAAAAACATTACTGCGCCTTCATTTTTAACAATGGACCAAAAAAAAAAACGTTGACACAGCTGACAGATAGTTCATTAGTGCAAGAGCAATTAATAAGTCAGCTGCTGATTAGGTGTTGTCTTTCAGAGCTGATCACTCAGGTAGTTTCCCAACATCAACCTCATAATTCCTTCGCAAATGTACGTTTAAAAATAATGTGATTCTAGTGGACATAAAAATAACTGCAGGACGGCACAGTGCTCAGATGTATTTCAGTGATTTCAGTGGTGGAGTTTGCATGTTCTCTGCGTGCATGCGTGGGTTTTCTCCAGGTACTCCATTTTCATCCCACAGATTTAAAAACATGCATGTTAGGCTGATTGGTAACTCTAAATTGCCTCTAGGTGTGAGTGAGAGAGTGAATGGTTGTTTGTCTTGTTTGTCTCTATATGTCTCTGTGATGGACTGGAGACCTGTCCTGGGTGTATCACGCCTCTTGCACAGTGATTGCTGGACATGGGCACTGGCGACCCCCGTGACCCAAAAATGGAGGAAGCAGGTAAAAGATAATGGATGGATGGAAAAACATTCAGTATTACATATTTTTGAGTGGCAAAAGTATGTGCACCTTTGCTTTCAGTACCTGTTGTGACACCCCACCCCCCAGGGAAGAAATAATTTTGGTAAATGTTGATCAGTGCTGCACACCTTGGAGGAATTTTATCCCATTCCTCCGTACAGAATAGCTCCAACTCTAGGATGTTGGTGGGTTTACTCACATTAACTGCAGCTTCAGGTCCTTCCACAATATCTGGATTGGATTAAGGTCAGGATTTTGACTTGGCCATTCCAAAACATGAACTTCATTCTTCTTGAATCATTATTTGATAGAACCACTTGTGTGTTCAGGGTCATTGTTGCTGCATGACTCACCTTCTCTTGAGATTCAGTTCATGGACGTTGTCCTTTCTCTGATATAATTCAGAATTTGTTGTTCCATCAGTGATGTCAAGCCGTCCTGGCCCAGATGCAGCAAACAGACCCAAACCATGATACTACCACCATCATGTTTCACAGATGGGATAAGGTTCTTATGCAGGAATGCAGAGTTTGCTTTTCTCCAAGCAACACTTCATTTAAACCACAAGGTTCTATTTTGGTCTCATCCATCCACAAAACATTCTTCCAACAGTCTTCTGGTTTGTCCACGTGATCTTTAGCAAACTGCAGACGAGCATCATTGTTCTTTTTGGAGAGCAGTGGCTTCCTCCTTCAACCCTGCCATGCACACCATTGTTGTTCAGTGTTCTCCTGATGGTGAACTCATGAACATTAACATCAGTCAATGTTGCTTAGCAGTTTCTCTGGGGTCCTTTGTGACCTCGCCGACTATTCCACATCTTGCTCTTGGAGTGATTTGGTCCACCACGCCTGGGGAGGGTAATGTAATGAGACAGCCGAGAGATGGATTTAGCTCAGGGGTGCTCTCTTACATTTTATAATATCTGGACTAGTTCAAGTACATGATATTATACTTAATTTAAACGGATTCTTTCATTTTTCTGGACTAAGTGATATTGTGCTTAGAAGTACTGTGTGGGAGATGGTCTAATCAGTGACATGAGTCGTTAATTTTCTTTGACCCATCAAAATGAATGTGGTCATTTATTAACAGAATCAAAATTTAACATCAAAACATTGTACACTTGATTATTCTGATTGATTACAATAACACAGCTTAATTAATGAGCTTTACAATGAAAAATCATACGGCCATGATTTCTCACTTGCAACTAAAAACAACAGACATATCTGAAGATATCTGGATTAATTACTGCAGGCTTAGCTTATCTTTTTACTGGCGAGATAGAAGAGATGGAGTAAAGTTTAAGGAGGGAAAGTGGATACTTAGGGTTAACTAAGATAATAAAGAAAAGATGGGGAGTTATCTTGTTTGAAACCAGATAGCACGTTTCCCAGTGATTTCGGCTAGATGTACCCGAGCGTCGACTCTTTACCTTGGTGGGGTTTCAGAGAGGTCTTCTCCTGGCGTCCAGCAAGGCTGAGTCTTTTTACCTCCAGGGATTTATCCGCGTCTCATCAACTTGGGATGACGAGGCTGACTGGCCCAGCTTCCAAAATAAACTTCCCCAAAAGATAGTCTTGAATTTCCTCCATTTGTACACAATCTGTGTGACTGTGGATTAGTGGAGTCCAAACTCTTTAGAGATGGTTTTGTAACCTTTTCCAGCCTGATGAGCATCACCTCTTTTTCTGAGCTCCTCAGAAATCTCCTCTGTTCCCGCCATGATCCACTTCCACAAACATGTTGTGAAGATCTGACTTTTATAGATCCCTGTTCTTTAAATCAAACAGGGCGTCCACTCACACCTGATCATCATCCCATTGATTGAAAACACCCGACTCTAATTTCACTTTCAAATTAACTGCTAATCCTAGACATACTTTTACCACTCACAAATATGTAATATTGGATCATTTCCCTCAATAAATAAATGGCCAAGTGTAATATTTAGTCTCATTTGTTTAGCTGGGTTCTCTTTATCTACTTTTATATATGATTTCAATTCAACCTCATTGTTTTCATTTTAAACCTAACAGACTTAAGACTAGTTTTGGTGCTAAAACTTGAGCAACTACACAGTCTTCCCTGAAGTTATCATGTATTTATGAGGTTTAGATCAAACTAACCTGTGGAATAACAGAAAAGGTGCTAAAAGTTATTTAAATGAAATACTAATACTAAACTTGATGTCATGATTTTTAGTCTACTTTAGTGTATTTGTTCTCACCTCTTTCCTTGTTAAATGGCAAAAGAACAAAGTTCACTTCTAAAAATGAGAACTGGTTTCCTTAACTTGCTTCTAATTTCTTTTCTTTTTTTTTCACACGTGCTGTCACATGATCACATGTTCATGTGGTACATTTGAGACCAGAGCGTTTATGGGAAATACCGTGTACAGTTTGTTAGAATAATAGTTCATTTTATGACTCTCGTTTAAAATCTCTATAGAGAAAAGAGACAAATGCTTTGCGCCAAGGAATTCCTGAAATGATTCAAAACCTTTGTAAAAAAAAAAAAATAATAAATCTCTGTATTTCTCTATTATTAAAATATGCATGCAAACAAATCTGTGTCCGTGGCCTCAGTTTTTCTAATTAGTCCAAATAAAGTTTCACACTTTATCCTTACACTTGTATTATACGCCAAAACTTCTGTTTCACCTTTAGTTGTCATGAGATAGTTACTTTTTTCTACTAATATTTCAAAATTTTTCATGACCATTTGATTTATTAAGATATTATCAAAGGAGGCATGCTCTGTTTTGCTTTATCTCTTTCACAGAAACATTCTCTTCTTTATGTACATGTGAGGGCTGAAGCGTTGTTAGTTTCTTTCAGGGTATGATTAGCTAACCAGACTTTTTTTTTAGACTGTTTTGAGGTTTTATGCATGCTTATAATGTCACACATATGATACTTGTGCCACCAAGGCTCTAACTTTGTATAATCAGTGCTCCAAAGTTACCATCAGGCTAACAAAGAGAAGTGACAGGATGTTGTAGCAAAACTCGAGTCAGACTCTGAGTTAAAACCTAACCTTCCAATATTTATAACCATCCAATGTTTTATTCTCTTCAAAGTTTAAAGCAATGTTTTCGCAGTGAAAACATTGGATCTCAGAGCGTAGCAGCACATGGATGGTGCCTGGGGGTCTAAAATACTCAGAGCTTAAGATCCACTCCGACCTCTCCTCAACACGGTTAAAGAGGGATCAGGACATCGCACCTGAACAGCTCATGTCTCATCATGTTCTACGTGCATTACTGGTCAAAATATGCTGCTGCTTTATTAGATTTCATCCTAATTTTTCATGTCTAACCTTATGATGAGGATGCAGATTTCCATTAACTTTTGTTAAAGAGACAACTCAACTCGTGATTTGGGCTTCTCCACAGGTATCAACAAAGGAAGCTGCTTCCGGATCAATCACTTTCCAGAGGATAACGACTACGATACAGACAGCTCAGAGTACATCTTACGTAAGTCAGTGCAACCTCTTCAAATACTCCAACCTTTAATCCTCTGTCTGCCTGTCCCCCCCCCTCTGTGATGATGGAGTTATCACAAGGGTACTTAATGTGTCATGACATCTCTATCCCCTCTCCAAAAAAGTCTGATGTTGTGACAGTAATTGCAGCTCTGCTGATAGTGAGGTGTGTTGTGTTGATGTGCAACAGAGCTTGTCTAAAAAAAGGCAGACTTTACTCTCATAAGAGTGTGATATAGGGATACTTTTGGATTTAAGTGGGGTGTCTCAGAGAAGACACTGAATTTAAAAAAAAAATGTGGGAGTGAAGAGGTTAGAGAAGGTGAGCCTGTGATCAAAATGTGGGTGGAAAAGGTGAAACACCCACACCTGCCTCCACCCTCATTTGCCCCATTCTGGGCCCTTGAGCAAAGCCCTTAACCCCCACCATCTGCTCCCCTGAGTACACTAGATAGCAGCTCTCTGCTCCACACAGAGGGCTGTGGTAGCTCGGTGGCCAGTGGTTGCGTCAGGAATAAAAACAACTGCCAAGTCTTTGTGCGAGTTTGTTCGCTGTGGCGACCCTTGAAGAAGGGAGCAGCCGAAGAAAGAAAACTGCCCCCCCCCCCCCAAGGACATCTGTTGCCTTATCAGAACCATGATGCTGATAGACACTGTACCATCTTATCAGAACTTTGGAACTCTCTGGAGTGTTTATGAATAACTCACCGCCATTGTCGACTTCTATGAATAAATGTATTGTGATGTCATTGTATGTTGCAGCTTTATGTTGCAAGGTCTTTTTTTTTTTACGTCTTTTATACTATTCTTTTTCCCGGCCAGGACATGGTGTGAAACATGATATATATATATATATATTTTTTTTTTGCTTCCTCCACCCTTGTGTTCTCTTTTCCTCATCTGCCTGTATGTTGTATGGAAAAGGTCTCTTGTAAATAAGTCTTCGAGGCTCAATGGGAACTTAATAATAATAATAATTATATATATATATATATATGCCATGGCCACTAAAGCAACAATTGTAATATTCAACACAACCAAAACAGAAAATTTTATTTATGCGATTACTTTTATTGCCTCATGGAAAGGCAGCAAACTCTTTTAATCAGCCACTGGTATCACTAAACACATTCACCTGATTTACTGACACTGGTTGCATCAAGTATAGATCTGTTTATTTATTGCTAAATCGAAGCTACAGGTACTTACATGTAGTATTTATGACACCCTGCATCAACAGTCCCTATTTCAGTGACACAAACTTATGGGGCTAATTTAGTTAAGAAAAAGTTTTCTCTCCAACGTTACAGTTCCTGTTGGTTGTCAAAGAAATCACACCAAAAAACTGAAATAAGATGGAATAATGTGTAACAATACAAGAAATAATGACTGGAACGTTTTTTTTTTTTTTTGACTCTGCAGTTAACCTGAACGAAAGACGATTGTGGGTCAGAACTTTCAAGTGGCTCTTTTTTGATGTTCCCATTCTTTCTTTGCTGATTTATTCATAGCTTAATAAGATGTGGATTGGTTCATTTGTAATTTTGTGCTAGCAGTCCGAAAGTTTTGTGTTGGCGCATAATCAGTTTGTTATCTGTTGTAGAAGTGTGGGGAGCAGTGAGCATCCATACAGTCTTGCTGTTTTATAATCTGGTGGGTATTTTTCTGAACGCAAATCAAACTGAGAGGTTTAGTAGAAAGCACATTCAATGGTTACACATGTTTGTGTTGAACGCGATTGTCTGTAGAAGGACTCTAACAAGTTTTTTCCTCCATTAGGGTCACAGTCCAACTAAAATGGAAACTATGAGCACCCTTTAGGTTCAAGAATCACCAATAATATTCAATGTTAAAAAGTTGTAGGCACTGGTTTGTTAGAAAGAAACATTAAAAGTGTTGTACAAAATAAGTAAAAAAATAAACCTTTTAAACATAATGGCAGTGATTGCGTCATAGCACTGTGCAAACCCCCTTTTTTTGTAGTTCCTTGTATCCGGAGAGATTTTGAAAACACCAGTACCTGTTTCTGAATGAGGCACTCAGTCAACATTTGGTGAGTCAGACCACTTCCTCTGACTTCTTGAAGCCTGTTGGTAGTTTGTCTACTTTCTTTAAAAGTTTGCTGAGTTTGGGTCATAAAGCTTTGACATCACATCGGCTACTAGCAGACCACTCTCATCTGTTCTGGAACATCAGTGTGAAGGTTTGGTCAAAGAAACCACAATGTCTTTATAACAAGGATGCAAAGTAGTTGAGCGGTGCAAGTCCTTACAGCTGTCTCAGCCGTGAAACCTCTCAGCAAACACAGTGCGTTTGTTTCCATTTCTTCACTTTTTCCTTTAAATTAATCCACTGTTTGTTCTTTACAGTTGGACCCAGAATGACAAAGATGGAAAAATATGTTTGTTTTTTACTGAAATACATCTTGTCCTGGTTTCATTTTCTGATAGCATTACATATTGTTGGTTCCCTAGGGGATGGGTGAATAAAACATTTATATAAATCAATAAGATAGGCACCTACTGGCCTAATTAAATTACTGTAAAAGTTAAGAATTGTACTGTTATCTTTAGCTAACTAGGTTGATTCATCCCACTGGAGCACATATGGATGAAACACTTTGATCTAGACCAGTGGTCAGCATTAGCCAGATATTTTCTAAGCAGAAGGTACTGGGGAAAGCTTATGATTGGACATGTTTCTAATACTTGTTTGTTCTTTTATTCCAATTTCTGCTGCCATGAGCACATCGTGACTTTTACCATGGTGCTTGGTTTTGATTGAGAGATTTTACACATGACTTCCTTCCTAATCACTGTAAAAGTAAAGAGAAGATGAAGAAGATGCGAAAAATTATGATCATTTCTAAAAATGAAATAATTTTACCGGTAATAAAAAGTAAATGACTATGGCGTTTTAAGTCAAGCACTAGAAGAAGACACCAAGAGCAGCCATCCATTTCTTTACTCATCTGTTCCTTCTGGTCAGGGTTGCGTGAAGTTTGTGCCTGTCTCCAGCAGTCTTTGGGTGAGAGGAGGGGTACAACCTGGACAGGTTGCCAGTCCATCACAGAGACACATATAAAGAAGACAGTCAACCATTCATGAGCTCACAAATATCTTATAATAATTTAGAGAAGCCAATTAATCTAACATGGATATTTTTGGTCTGTGGGAGGAAACTGGAGTATCCAAAGAAAACCAACATGTTAAAGGGAATAAATATTAACTCCACACAGAAAGATCCCAGACCCAGTCAGGAATGGAACCTGCTCATTGTTTTCAACAGTGGTGGGATGTAACTAAGTACAAGTACTTTGTTACTGTACTTCAGTACATGTTTCATGTATCTGTACTTCACTTAAGTAGAGTTAAACATGGATACTTTCCACTTTTACTCCACTACATTTTACATTAAGTATCTGTACGTTCTACTACACTACATTTCTAGAATGCGTTGCGTTACATGTTACATTCATGTTGCTTTTTTGTTTGTTTGTTTGTTTGTTTATTAGTTTGAAAGTAACCAGTGGCGAGAGGGGAGTTGGTCCATTGAATCACTGCAAAGTGGGCAGGTAACATTAGACCTGCCTTCAAGAAGAGCTATATCAGAGTCAGAGTCAGAGTCAGAGTTTCTTTATTGTCATTCGCACCTCATGTGGTACATGTGGTGGAGCGAAATTATGTACGCAGGGTCCCAGTTACATCCAACAATAAAATGTATAAGAAAAACAGTAATGACATCTAAGATATGAACTAAGAAAAACATCAACTAAATATACACTAAGCACTCATAACATAAAACATTGAACATCAGCACAAACATGAACATGAGTCTGTGAGCAGATGTGCACGCATGAACACATCAACATTGAAACAGATCAGCAGCAACATGAAACAGATCAGCAGCAACATGATATGGTTTTTCACAGTGATTATTCTAGTTAGAGATTCATGAGTCTAACAGCCCCAGGGTAGAAGCTGTTCCTCAGTCTAGTGGTTCTAGACTTAATGCTCCTTAACCTCCTTCCTGAGGGGAGTGGGGCAAAAAGTGTGTGTGCTGGGTGAGTGGGGTCCTTCATGATGCAGGTGGCCCTCTTCCTGCATCTGGAGGTGTAGATGTCTGTGATGGTGGGGAGACTGATTCCAACAGATTTCTGTGCAGCCTTCACCACTCTCTGCAAAGCTTTTCTTTCTGCAGCTGTGCAGCCTCCATGCCACACGTTGATGCTCGAGCACAGGATGCTCTCCACTGCACACCTGTAGAAGGAGGTGAGGACTGAGCTTCCCAGACCAGCTCGCCTCAGCCGTCTGAGGAAGTAGAGTCTCTGATGAGCTTTCTTGATCAGGCTGGTGGTGTTGTTGCTCCAGCTGAGGTTGTCATTCATGTGTACACCCAAGTACTTGTAGCTGGAGACCACTTCCACCGCAGATCCTCTTATGTTCAGGGAGGTGTAGGTGTTTTTGTTCCTTCTGAAGTCCACAATCATCTCCTTTGTCTTCTTCACATTGATGTGAAGGTTATTCTCTCTGCACCAGCTCTCCAGGTGTTCCACCTCTTGCCTGTAGCTGGACTCATCATTGTTTGTGATGCATCCCACCACCGCTGTATCATCTGCAAACTTTACAATATGACAGCCTGGATGGGTAGCTGCACAATCATATGTGAGCAGAGTAAACAGAAGGGGGCTCAACACACATCCCTGAGGAGAGCCAGTGCTGAGGGTTATGGTGGAGGAGGAGAGGTTGTGGATCCTCACTAACTGTGGTCTGTTTGTTAAAAAGTCTAGTACCCAGTTGCAGATGGAGGGGCTTAGTCCTAGTGTGAATAGTTTGTCCATCAGGGTTTGGGGGATCATGGTGTTGAAGGCGGATGTGAAGTCCACAAAGAGCATACGGACGTAAGAGTTTTTCTGCTCCAGGTGGTTGAGTGCAGTGTGGACCACAGAGGAGATTGCATCCTCTGTTGATCGGTTCTCACAGTATGCGTACT